AATTTCTATAGTTCTAAAGATCAATGCTTCAAAATATCAACAGTTCGATATCTCTAATGATCAACAGTTCAAAATATTGAATGTTCAATATATCTGTCACATTGATGTACAATACATGTGAACAATAGATATAAAAATAGTTAACAAATAAAATTAAGAATAAATAAAAATAAATATTGTCCAATAAAATATAATATACGAAGTATCCAATAAAAATAAAAATAAAAATTGTCCAATAATATATAACTAACAAAATAAACTATAACAATATCAATAAAGTTTTCAGCATAGTCAGCCAAGTATTTCTCAATTAACTAATGATATTCTTTGAACATCAGGTACAAGATGGTGGAAATTAATTCTTTGATCACCTCCTTGCATGCTTGCTATATAAAATAATAAAAATTAAAACTTTGCAGATTGATTTTTAGCTTTGAACATAATCAAAAATAAGTATCTTTCAAAAATCATCGGATAATTCATCAATTATAATTAGCTTTTTAATATTCTTTGTCTGTTTCTGATGCTGATTTCTAATATAATGACAGAAATGATATATAGAATCGAGTTTTCTATTGAGAATATTTATTGTAAAAGTGAATTCAGCATAGATTAAAATTCTTTCATTATCTGATACTAGATCTTCTAATACTTGATCTTGTGATGCTAAAAGTTGAGCATCTTGTAACACTGAAAGTTGAGCATCTTCTGATGCTTGATTTTGTAAAACTGGAATTGGAGATGAAATATATTCAGGAATATTAACATTTCTCATTTTTTCGTTTAATAAAGGATGATTGGATTGGTTATATACAGATTTTTGAAATGATTCAGAAGTTATGATAAGTTCTATTAGCTCCTTATGCTTTTCTTTATTATTTTTTACACTGGCTAATATAATAGAAAAAATCAGTAAAGATAATATTTCTTTGTGGATATTAGTTTGCTAATCTGATAAAGATAGCATTAATTGTCTGAATTGTGATAGAAATGATAATGGTTAAGTCACTGTAAATAGAATTGATTTTTTTGATTCTATAGAAAAAAATTAAGAATTCTTCTGATTTCTGCAATTTCAAAAAACAATCTTTGAAAGATTTTACTTACTTCCCATCATTATATGTCCAAACAAATTTCTTGTTTATGTAAAAGTTTCTGCTTCTATAGTTTTTGTACTAACTGATATTAATTTTTTTGATTTTGAAAATCCAGCTTTAGCTATAGATCTCGATCTCGATCCTCTTGTTCTTTTACTAAACATATTTAAGTAATAAAGAAAGAGATAATGAAACTAATAAAAATTTGAAGAAAGACATGCTATTTAAATAGCAAGTCTTTACATTTTTCAAACTGTAAAAATCTGTACCATATTTTGTTTGATAATATATCTATAATTAATCAAAATATAATATAATAATATTAGTATGAAAAAAACTATATCATCTTTTACATACCTTTCTTTCCTATTTATCAATGAATAAAAATATAAAAAACCTCTCTAAATGCATTACAAATTTTATCTTTGGAATCCATTTAGGAAGATTTTCTATATTTTGAACTAAACTGAAGTTGGACTTCTATACTTTAAAAAAAATAGAAGTTTTTAATTAATAAAACTTTTTTTTTTCTATTCTCTTTAATAAATCTATCAACTTATTAAGTTGAAAATTCAGCTCTAGTAATAAAATTTAGTTGTCATCAAAGATCAATGGCTAGACATCATTGTAAAATTTGCAAGAAACAATTTTCAACTCTCAATGAATTAACACAGCATGTTAATATAGTACATCATGGAAGAAAAATAGTTTCTCAACCAACAGGTCATATCTCACAAAGCTCACAATATCAACTAGCAATTTCACAAAGTTCTCAATCAATACAAAGACCAATATATGATAATAATTTATGGAGTATGTCAATTATGAAGTTGTCTTCTTCACCAGAAATGCATAAAAAAAATCTGACAAAGAAATAATATTACTTATGAATATTATTAAAGAAGAAATAAACTTATCTGCAATAGTTTCTGCTGAAAAAAGTTTAGAAGAAAGTATAAAAAAGTCAATATTGATAAATACTGAAGAATCTGACTTTGATTTTGAAGATTTTCAGGATGCAACTTTGAATGATGCTTTGGAGATCATTGAAGGAAAAAACAAACTGGAACACTTAGCACAATGATCTAATGAGGCTTGCCATAACTTTATGAAATTGGTAATAGAGAATAATATTTCAAATAAATATCAAAGATAACATTATCAAGTTCTTCAATAAATACAATAATCTGAAGGAGTCACCATTACCAAAGTCTACCAAAAGTGAAAAAGATTATTTTAATCAAATAGAATCATCTTCAATCAAATTTAAAGAAAAAATTGTTGGAACTTACTTTAGAGTCAATTTTACTTTTTATTATCATCCAATTTTTTGAGCCATTCAAATGCTTATATAATGATCAGAAATAACAGATAACTTCACTCAATATGGAGTTCTAAAAAAGAAAAAGATGGTAAGTTTTCAATTACTGTGATGTCAATTAACAAAATTAACAAATCAGTAAACATTAATTAATAATTATCAGGAAGATGAAGTTAAAATAAGAATATTCAGAGAATAGTATGAATGTGATTGGTGACACAAGATTAAAAAGGCACTTTCTCTATTGAATCATTTATTGTCAATTATTCTATACTCTAATGTTATCATCTTCAATGATCTCAGCAAGAGTTCAGAACATCCAATATTTTTGACACTTGGTAACTTTTCAAACTGAGTTCGAAATAAATCAGAATCTAAAGTTCTTTTGAACTTTTTGTTCAAAGTTCAAGATTCAACAATTAAAATCACTGAAGTTTTTTGAAGTTTTCAATGCAAAGTGTATCACAAGTGCTTGAAAATTATGCTTGAATTTTTATATAAAAAACCTGATACATTGTATTTCAGAGTTCAGGAGCGACCAGTAATTTTTGCAGTACAGATTTCAATTTTTCTTGCAGATATACTTGAAGCTGATGATATAATCACAATATATAAAGTAGCATAATGCAAGATGCCATGTCATATTTCCATGATTATACAGGATAATCTCAATAACATGAATTTTATATCAGAGGACATGGCTTCCAGAACACCAGAAAATATGTAATGGATTATAAATAAAGGCTGAGGCAAAGATTTTTAATACATAATATTGAAAATGTCTTTTGGAGATTTCAGTAAGTATTTGAATGCTAATTCTTTCTGTAACTATTTTCAAGAAATAATTAATTAGCTGAAAACTGAAATTTTTGAATAGAAACTTAAATATTTATGAAGTCAGCGTACCTGATCATATGCATTATATTGATCTTGGACTCTTCAAATACCAGTTGGACTTCATCCAAGATATTTTGAAGGAAATTGGCAAAACAGAATTATAAACCAAATTTGATGATTGTCTCTGTCAAATTTCTTACTTTTCTGAACTGAAATTGTTCCACAAACTGGAGCAACTAAAAGTAATAATTACTACAGATTTTTGACATGTAATGAAAATTGTTCTTTTCACATTGGACAATATCTTTAACACATGGAATGAAATAATATGTAGTAATCTCTATGAGCTTTACATAATGTTTAGTCAAATATATATAATGAGTAGGCAAGAATTGTTCATTTAAAATGATTTGAAAACCTTTGAGATAAATTAAAGTAAAATTGATTAGTAAACTTTAAAGAAATTAAAAATAATGAAATCAATACAGACTCTTATTATCAACTGGTGTTCCAAATTCAAAAGAAGTTTTGTGTTATTGTCAATCACAGAATGTGGTTTTCCAAAACTATATAGCTAGCAATATCACATAATCACAACAATTTGTAAATATAGAGTCTTGAATAATTTCTTGACTGAAACATGTAAAACATTTTACAAATTATACGTGAAAAATTCATATCGATCATTGAATAGAAAAAATATAATGCAGCAAATAGTAAATACAGTAAGTTAAGTTACTTTTTAAGTTATTCAAAATACAATATAATGCTAAATCATACTTACAAGTGAAGTGCAAAGAAATAGTTATAATAATGAACAAAGTGATTTATCATAAAACTGAAGAATTTGACAAGATATTATGGGAATTATCTTTGGATGTCATTGAAGCAAAAGTGATTTTATTGAAGAATTTGGAGAGTTCACCACATTCAAACTTCATTGAAGGATTATCACATTGTCACCGATTCAAAATCAACTATAATTTCAAAAGAATACATGAACAAAAGAAGCAGCATGATAAAATTAGTCATAATAATATTTAGACTATGTAATTGATTCGATAATATTCTACTTCTTTCTATTTCTTTCTATTTTCTTCTTTTTCTTTCTCGTATTATCTATTTTCTATATTTATCTTATTGTTATCTTTATT